GTTTTCAAAGATGAGCCATTTTTTTTCTAATTACGGTCATATTCTACGCCAAAACCCATACTTAATTCACAAATCCCATAAAAGTCCAAATGTTCTTACCACTTACGGATGGTCAAACGGATCGTTGAATAACCATCATTCTTTCTTTTCTTCTTGAACATATTGTTCTTTTGTGTCTCTAGGTTCAAAACAGGATAAAGTTTGGTGGTTTTCCATCAATTTGCTGTGTTCATTTGCCATGCAATTCTGTAAGTTCTACATGCACATGCTAAAACTAGATTTTACTCCTGCCTCCTTCGTCTGACCAGCATAATATAAACTTTGACAAATTAGAATATCCAGAAAGATCGGATCATCACATCCGTGAAGTACTTAACACAACAAATTAGTTTGCCTCTAAATCATACTACTTTTGAAATTTTTGGGATTCTATGAAAATACAGTAATAATTTTTTTAAACAAGATTCATTCAAAACAGTAATAATTTTTTTTGTGCTGAGTGTTTCACGGATCCAAGATTTTACTATCATTATCTGGATTCGACCTCTCTGAATATCCTAAGTTTTGAAACGGGTCGGAACATCGGATTGGAGTAGATACTCGAATTCCCGAATAAAGAATTCACCCCTTGTATGATGTTTTCCAATTGGCATCGATGTAAATTGAATGCGAGTCATTTTGATTAATAAACGAGCAAACCTATAGCCCAATGTGTATCCATATAAACCATTCGAACTAATTCGGTTAGTCTTCGGTACATTCATTCTAAACCGGGGAACACACGTCGTCGTCGTCTCCTTCATCTTCACTATGGCCGGTCAAAAACGACGTGGCATATTTCATTCAATCTTTCTTTCTGTTGTTGCTCTTGTACATGTGTGTGAAATCGGAAATCTCCATCGTTTGTCTTCTTTTCAAAGCATTTCCTACTCTCTCTTCTTTCCCTTTTCTCTGTAGCTCCATCGATACTCGAAGGTTTTCGGTTACCTCCAGAAATGGGTCCTTCAGAAACGGGAAGTGGTAGCAGCAGCGATTCTCAAATTCCAGATTGGGAAACCGAGTTTAATCGCTTCGAACAGTCGATTTCTTCTGGTCTCGCTCCAATTCGTGTAAGAACCGTTCTAAAGTTATCAGATTTAGCGAATCGAGTACCAGAGAGTATTCTATCCCGTGCAATCCCGATCCTCGCTGGTCTTCTTCGTGTCTCCGATGATCCCAATCGTTCCGTTCAAGCAGCCGCCGCGCATTGCTTAAAACGTATCGCTTGTTGTGGCGGTGAAGAGGGCGGATTTGCGATGGCGATGGGGAGGTGCGGTGTGATTGCTAGCTTGTTAGGGTTGTTATTTGAGGCGAATACGAATACTAATAGTAATGCCTTCCGAAGGATTTGGGTGAAATGTTTGTGGAGCTTGGTTACTTTTGGATCTTCGATTCGAATTGGTTTGGCTAGGTTAGGTGGTTTAGAGATTGTGATTCGTGAGTTGAATACTTGGGAAGATGATACAAGTAGATGGTATTTGTTAGAGATCCTTAGTGCTTTGACGACAATACGAGAGAGCAGACGCGTTCTTGTTCATACAGGAGGGCTGAAGTTTCTTGTTGAAGCGGCTAAAGTTGGAAACTTGGCGTCGCGAGAGAGAGCTTGTCACGCAATCGGATTGATCGGTGTTACTAGACGAGCTCGGCGAATGCTGATTGAAGCAGGAGTGATTCCAGCACTTGTGGATCTATTTCGAGATGGAGATGATAAGGCAAAGCTTTTAGCTGGTAATGCCTTAGGGATCATATCTGCTCAGACCGAGTACATTAGGCCTGTCACTGAAGCTGGTTCCATTCCTTTGTATGTTGAGCTTCTGTCAGGACGAGATCCGATGGGGAAAGATATTGCAGAGGATGTGTTCTGTATACTAGCTGTAGCTGAGGGTAATGCTGTTTCGATAGCGGAACAACTGGTGAGGATCTTGAGAGAAGGCGATAACGAAGCCAAGTTTGCGGCTTCTGATGTGTTGTGGGATCTTGCTGGTTATAGGCATTCTGTATCGGTTATTAGAGACTCTGGTGCTATTCCGTTACTGATCGAGCTTGTGAGAGATGGGTCCCTTGAGTTCAGGGAGAGGATTTCTGGAGCTATTTCTCAATTGAGTTATAACGAGAACGACCGTGGGGCCCTTTCTGATTCCGGTATGATACCGATTCTGATTGAATGGTTGGGCGATGAGTCCGAAGAGCTCAGGGATAACGCAGCGGAGGCACTTATTAATTTCTCAGAAGACCAAGAGCATTATGATAGAGTGCGTGAGGCGATAGGCCATCCTGTGTTTCAGAGTATGCAGAGCAGACTTGCTAGAATCCGAGCTTCCCATGAACTTTTGGCTAGGTCAATGCGAAGGGTTACAATCGAACATCGTGCCCGGAATCCAGATCTTCTTTGATCTGATGGCCAAATCCTGCTTTTCCACCTGTTTTGATGTATATTTATAATCTGACTTTGAAATAAGACTCAAATGCTGTTTAATTTGTGCATTTTTTGTTCTTTAGACGTTTTTGTATACATGTACCAAAAGATATTTTGACTTTGGAATCTACGTCTATGATCTTCTTTTACATGATTGTGCATCCAGTGGTTGGACCATAAGAATCATAGACTACTTCATACATCTCATGTCGTGGCTGCTCATAGCAAATTGAAGGGCATTGAGCTAAGCAGCAATGCGGTGGAACCATTTGATTTGTGCTGTTATGGTCATCAGATGTTTCGATGTTCTTGGACTTGTCGGTATCATTGTCTTCAGGATGGAGAATATCCGGCGTAACTTCTTCAAGAGTCTCTAAAGTGGCATTGCACGCTTTCTTCCTCAAGGTTTCGACCAAACAAGCCGCATCAACTCCATCACCTACCACCACAAGCTCGTCCTCGAGTTCCCCTTCTATGGCCACAGAGATTACACCTGCAAGAAAGGTATATACAATTTTCATCTCCCATTAGAAACTACTCGGTGTTTTCTTTGATTTAAAATGGTTTATTTCAAGCTCTTTTACCTTTTGCACCAACTGCTACTTCCATCGCTTTCCTTCTGCATTTTTCACAATTCACTGACATTTTGATACGCATCTTCTTCTGCAAAATGCTCCACAAAACTCAGAAACGAAAACGAAGAGATGACAGATTAAGAGGCCAAAATTGTCCATAATTATCAAAATGAAATGAAGGATGATTCAATGAAGCTGTTGGCAAAAGTCAGACCTTCATTGTCCCTGATGAAAAAGCTCTGTTTTGGTCAAAGTGGAGAGTTGAAGAAAACTATCATCTTGGTTATTTACTATATGAACTTATTTCTATAGCCTTGATTTGTGCTTAGCACGAAGGGCTAAGGGATCAAAGTTAGACTTACACAAGTAGGATTGAAGTCAATATAATGTTTTTTTTATAGATACAATCTTTCCTCTTTTTGTTTGTTTGGTCAATACCACATTTTATAATTATCTCAAGTATCATATCAAATATTGTCATATATACTACTATCATTTAGTTAGAACAAATGCCAAAAGGTTACCCTAAGATCTCTCTAAAATCTAAAGATGATCTTCTTCACATGTTGATTGAGATGTTTACTTGTTGAAGCGGTGATATTCTTCACATGATTGAGCATCCGGTGGTTGGACCATAGGAATCATTGACTACTTCATATGTCCAAGGAAGTCGCTGCTCGTAGCTAACCGAGGAGCATTGAGGTACGCAGCAGTGCGATGTAACTGACTTTTCATCGACCTGTGGCTTCTTCTGATTGACAGTATTTGGCTTCACTTCTTCAAGAGTCTCTAAAGTGGCATAGCATGTTTTCTTCCTCAAGGCAACAACCAAACAAGCTGCATCAACTCCATCTCCAACCACCACAATCTCGTCCTGAAATTCCCCTTCCATGGCCACTGAGGTTACACCTGCGTACAAGATGCATGTATGCAATTCTTCCATTAGAATCCACTCAAGCACTCTTCAATCAAAGAGGAAATGGTTTACTTTTGAAGTTATTTAAAACTTATTTGACACTTACCCTTTGCTACAACTGCAATTTTCATTGCTTTCTTCATGCATTTGCCACACTTCACACACACTTTGATACGCATCTTTTTCTGCAAAAATCATCCAACAAAACGCAGTAGACAAAACAAGAAACAGATCAAGAAACAAGACGTGGTCCAAAACAAAATGAAAAGGCTTTTGGCAAAAAAGAACTTGGCACCTTCATTGTTCCCTGATGAAGAAGCTTTGTTTCGAAAGCCTTTGTCGAAGTCAAATTTCCTCAGATAGACTCCTTTTGCACGGATAAGAAGGTTCTACACACTGAGTCAAAGACAGAGACAGTACTACGTTGATGAAGCTTCTTGACCAAATCACCTCTTCGATTTCTTCACAGAGATAAGCATTTTGTAGATATCTATGTTTCTGTTTTGCTTCTATCTTATGTGTTTGGTTCTTCAGACAAGATCAAGAGTAATCGACAAGAGACTTATCCCTAGCAACAATGCTTCACTTTCTTTTCTTATATATACACCCAGATTCACCCTAACAAGAAGAAGAAACAAAGAGAAATTGAGAAGAAGAAAATCAGATTCAAGCTCCAAGAAATCCCTCTTTTCTCTGCAGTTTTCTTGATTGCAAAATAAAAAAAAATCACAGCTTGATGTGTATTGATCTGGTTTTACTTGATCACCAAGGTTTACCCTCACAGATTTGCCAATACTGTACTAGTTAATTACCATTTTGTGCCATTAGTTTGTCTTAAAGTGGAAATTGTCGTAATGTGTATCAGACTTGGAACCAATTTCAACACAGTTGCGTCATTATTTGTTTTACTAGTTGAATTTTTAGTTTAACGTGTTCTGTAACAAAATGCAGGGGAGAATCTTTCCTCTTTTGGCATGTTTGATAATAGCTCAATGTCTTATAAAACCCTCCAATTATTCTTCTTATAGAAAATACGAATATTTAGTTAGAACAAATGACAAATCACACCAACAAGGATTTGTATAACTAAAAAACAAAAAGAATCGAATGGCCATCCTAAGA